TATTGGAACAGTTAATTAAGAATAATTCATATATATAATTTTGTTAAGCATTTTGCTAGAGTTACAGTTAAGCCAATTATTTTATTTTTATTTTCTCTATATTTAACTGTAGTGTAAAAACAAATTGTGTTTTGTTAAAAGTTGATTAGTTTGACCAATTGAATAGCATCTGGAATGCAACGCCTTACACTTATCTTTAAAACAAGAAAAAGCTAGGGTCTAGGCTATCTTCTTAATATATTTTGAGGGGCTTGGTCTGGTCCATACCAGAAGCAAAGAGGTTTCAAGGTGATTTAGACAGGTTGAGTGAGTGGGCAAATACATAGTAGATGCAATGCAACATTGCTAAATGTCAAGTTATATATTTCAGTGTGAAAACAGAACAGAAGAGATATTGAAATGGTGGGGGGCCTGGGTGTACATCAGTCAATAAAAGTAGGCAGGCAGCTGCAGCAAGCAATTGGAAGGCAAATGGTACATTGGCCTTCATTGCAAGAAAATTTGAGTTCAGAAGTAGGGGTGTCTTACAGTAGTTAAATAGAGCCTTGGTGAGACCACGCCTACAAATTTGGTCTCCCTACCTAAGAATGGATATGCTTACCAGAGGACTAAGATGAGGAAAGATTTCTTAGCTCTAAGGGCAGTGAACATGTGGAATTCCCTACCACAGAAGGCTGTGGAGGCTAAATCACTGAATAAACTCGAGAGAGGTAGTTTTTAAAAAGATTTTTAAAGGCATCAAAGGGGTGTGGGGAGAAAACAGGAATATGACATTGGGATAGGGGTCAGCCATGACCCTATTGGATGGTTGAGCAGGATTGAAAGCCAAATAGCCTACTCCTGCTCCCGGTTCCTACGTTACCCAGTTTATAATTTGATACAGCACGTTTCACATACAAAGATTAGGGGAATTCCGAGTGTTTTAAATGAGAGTAGCTTCGTACAGATGTGCTGAAAGACCAGAAAACAAAAACATCCAGTTGCGGTTTTAAGTCTTCTTGTAGCTCTCTGCCTTTCCCTGACATTGGATAGAATGCACAAAGGCAAGTTTGAGTCCCCAAGGTTTGGATAGCGCAGACCCTACGGAGAATCTTGGAGATTTCTTGAGAAAAATGTGGCCTTTGCTAATGGGAGCGAGTATGGATCCATCCCCAAGATGCCACATTTCATGCAGTGCCTCATTGCGAGAAATTTTGGCGCGGCTAACTTATTCTTCCCCTAGTTGCTTTGCTCTGTGACAGTCTTTGACCAAGACTCTGTGTTAGAGAAAGCATGCATTGATACATGTGCTATGTGATGCATTCCCTGGCCCCCAAAACTTCATCTTCACTATGGACATCCAATCCCTCTACACTTGTATCCCACATGCAGATGGCTTAAAACCCCTCTGCTTCTTCCTCTCCTGCAGGCCCAACCAGTCCACCTCCACCGACACCCTCATCCGCTTAGCTGAACTTGTCGTTACCCTGAATAACTTCTCCTTTAACTCTTCCCACTTCCTACAAGCTAAGGGGGTGGCTGTGGGAACCTGTATGGGTCCAAGCTATGCCTGCCTCTTTGTAGGATACGTGGAACAGTCCCTTTTCTGCTGTTACACCGATACCATCCCCCACCTCTTCCTCTATTACAGTGATGACTGTTTCGACTCTGCCTCATGCTCCCAAGAGGAGCTTGAACAGTTCATCAACTTTACCTTTCACCCCAACCTCAAATTCACCTGGACCATCTCCAATACCTCCCTTCCCTTCCTGGACCTCTCCGTCTCCACCTCTGGTAACCGCCTCAGCACCGACATCTATTTCAAGCCTACCGACTCCCATAGCTACCTGGACTACAACTCCTCTCACCCACCCCTCCTGCAAGAATATGATCCCATTCTCCCAATTCTTCCGCCTCTGCCGCATATGCTCCCAAGATGGAATGTTCTACTCCCGGACATCCCAGATGTCTTCCTATTTCAAGGACTACAACATCCCCCTCCAGTGATCAAAAATGCCCTCAACTGCATCTCTTGCATTTCCCACATTTCTGCCCTCAAAACCCTTCCCCCAACAAAAGTAAAGACAGAGTCCCTCTGGTTTGTAAGTTCTGATGAAGGGTCCCGACCAGAAATGTCAACTTTCCTGCTCCTCTGATACTGCCTGACCTGCTGTGTTCCTCCATCTCCACGCTGTGTAGATGATGTGTTGCAAACTCTGTTTGGTTAGTGGGTCTCATCCTGCCAAACCCTGGGTTAACAGTTAGCTGAATGACTGTGGATAGGAGCCTTATGGACAGTGACCAGTTCTTTCCAACAAAAACAGAAGTTGCTGGAAAAGCTCAGCAGGTCTGGCAGCATCTGTGAAGGAAAAAAAA